ATCATGAGACAGGACTGAGTTAGATCATCACATGAGACAGGACTGAGTTAGATCATCATGAGACAGGACTGAGATCATCATGAGACAGGACTGAGTTAGATCATCATGAGACAGGACTGAGTTAGATCATCACATGAGACAGGACTGAGTTAGATCATCATGAGACAGGACTGAGTTAGATCATCACCTGAGACAGGACTGAGTTAGATCATCATGAGACAGGACTGAGTTAGATCATCATGAGACAGGACTGAGTTAGATCATCATGAGACAGGACTGAGTTAGATCATCATGAGACAGGACTGAGTTAGATCATCACATGAGACAGGACTGAGTTAGATCATCATGAGACAGGACTGAGTTAGATCATCATGAGACAGGACTGAGTTAGATCATCACAGCAAGGCTTGTAGAAAAATAAAAACTGACGTTTTTGACCCGTTCTTCCTCTGATGTAACCTGAACTCATTCTGTGTTCAACTATTGGAGCATTTTTACTGTAAAATACTTTAATTAAAGTAAGAAATTCARAATTGTAAGAAAATAAAAAATACAAATGTAAGAAGTGTTTTTATTAGTATTTGTGTGTTCTTATTAAACSTTTAAATTTGTTATTTACTGCAGTTGGTTTAAGTATTTTGGACATTTTTATTAATTTGTTTACGAGGGAAATTGTCCTTATAAAAATACAGTGAGTTAGTATATTTTTATTTAGAAGATATAATTTAAACTTTATATCTGTGTTTAAAGATGTCCAGTTTTAGCAGCAGTCTTGTAAAAAATAAAGGTTTATTTAAGGTGTAAAGTTTACACTCACGGCTGGTTTTATGGTACTTGAACGCAACACGAACCGAGACAAACATGTAAAGTGCTGAAATCCGACAGTGCCTGAAGGCGGCGGGAGCGCGCGCAGAAACGAAACAAACATGGCGGAAGCGGTGAGTGTGTTCGCTTTGTTCCTGCTTTTATTGCTTTAGAACACTTGACAGGTGAAAAGTGTTCTTGGTGCGGGTTTCAGGACTCGGACTCCGAGTCCGAAGGGAGACCTGAAGCAACAGAAACGAGTTAAATTCCTCCAACTGCGAAAAACTGACCGTTAGCATCAAATCCTGTTACTTTTCACATTAAAAGCCTCTGAAGTGTCTCTGCCTCTTTAAAATAAATTAGTTTTCAGCATAAAAACAAACTATGTGTTTAACAAAAACACTGTCAAACTGTTAGTTAATCACAGCAGATTAAATCACAGGTGTTTCTTATTTTAACTCGTGAATTAATTTAGCTTTAGTTGTGACTCAGTAAAATATGTGATCAATAATTGATCACATATTTTATCTGTGAAACAATCAGTAAATAAATCTTTAAGTAGCTGAAGGTTGACTGGATTCATTCTAAGCTTTATTTTCAGGCTTTTGAACAACAACAATAATAAACATCTTGTTTTATTGTCACATATGATGTATATTCAATTGTTTACATGTATATTCAGTTGTTTATTCAGTTGTTTACATGTATATTCAGTTGTTTACATGTATATTCAGTTGTTTACATGTATATTCAGTTGTTTACATGTATATTCAGTTGTTTACATGTATATTCAGTTGTTTACATGTATATGAAGGAGTTGAGTGTTTTTCTGAGGTTTATAATCAGACCCGGTGTTTCTGCAGCTGCTGAACCTCAGGTGTTCAGGTCTGCTTCTTCAGCAGCTTGTAGACCTCCTGCAGCAGCAGAACTCTGGTTCTGGTTCAGTCTCTCTTGATTGAGGTCTTTGGGCCCACAAGGAGCCCACACCATGAGCCTCCACCTCCGTTCAGACAGCTGCAGCTGCTCTCCTTCAAGAGCAGTATAAGGC